CACTGAAACCAAGTGTTTTTTATATAGCCCATTGTGCAGCTCTAGTGCGACGTAAAGTAACAACAACAACAACAACAACAACGTAAGGGTGATTTATTTACTTTATTTATTTACTTACTTACCCATAAAAATGCAGGCTTGTGTGCTCATTACGAAGTATTACTTATAAGTCCTTTACTAATTGTAGAATAGATAGCGCAAATTCGAGAAGGATACACCCACGGTTGCAGTCTGATTCGAACCCGTTACCTCCACGCTTTCAATTTGCTTGCCTATGAATATATTTTAGGTTTTGGGTATTAAAATCAACTAGGTTTTCCGAGATCCGCATTTGGTATATGACTTAAATCCTTATCATCTACGTTTCGACGAGAATGCGTTTAAGTATTTATCTATAAGTTTTTGACCGACAGCGATGGCCAAGTGACGAAAGTGTTAGTCTGCAAATAGAAAATATCACAGGTTTTTGAGCCAGAATACTTGTTTGTTTCATTTAAACTTGCGCAATGTTATTAAACAAGTTCTTGTGAAACTTAGTCAAACAAAAAGACAACCTGGAATGAAATAAAGAGATCATAATAAGATTATCAAACATACCATGGTCTAGCACCTAGCTGCCTTTTTTTTTTGTCAGGGTTCTGACTTTTGACCATCCATCTAGGATAACCTGGCTCGTAGGTTTATTGCTTTATTGAAATTACATGCATTTGCAGGCTTGTATGCTCAATTTGGGCTTATAAATCTTTGCCAAGTAGAAAGACGGACAGGAACAATTCAGAAAAGGACATCACGAAGAATACATCCAGGGTTGCGGTGGGACTCGAACCCGCTGCCTCCACACTTTGCACAGCGTTTGGCGGGTGATACCGATCGGTCAGGGAAGCCTCCTGGCTCGTAGAGCGTTGAGTACCTGTCCAAGAGGTCGTGAGTTCGATCCACGTTGTTTCCCCGTGTACAAAATGTGACTGGTTCGCACTAAATCTATCGGGATTACAAAACCCTAAATGTTTTCATAACAAATCAATACCTCTAGGGGAACTGGATCGGAAATCGATAGTGTTCTGGACCTTGTTAGAATTACGATCTGTGGATGGGTGAATGCTGTGTCCATCCTGAAAAATGGGTTGTGATAAATGTATGTTGTCTCCGGATTATTCTCAAGGATGCGTCCTAGATCATCGCCAATAGTCTGTCGTGCAGCTCTAAAATGACGTAAATGAAAGTACCGTACCTTTTGACCACCACACAATTTTGATCCCGGTCAGATGACGTGGGCAGTGTCAGAGCTGGTACCCCTCTCTCCAAACTTCCACACCACAACCAACGAGAGGATTTTCAGGCACGGCAGATATAACGTGCTCCTTTGAGATTATAATGGAAATCAAATAAGTTTATTTCGCACACTAGCCCGAAATTAACACGGAGACGGCCTCTTTTTCAAAAAATCTTCAGCGTGTCTTTGTTGTTGTTGTTGTCGTGTCTAAGCATACAGTGCTAGTGCGAAGATTAGAGTCTACCAAAAGTCTTGATAACAAGATTTGCAAGTTCTGAAGCCCGATGGCCATGGAGAATTTCGATGGAGGGGGGGGGGCTCCAAGTTGAAAGAGGGAGCCGATAATGGCCTGGCAGTCAAAAACATGGTCTGGAGTTAGTTGCAAATGAGGACAGTACTTGCAGAGGGGATAGGATTTTATATTATCAGCGTGACTTTGACTGAATATATTTCTAACCTCATTTCAATCTTATATTTTTGTTTATACATAATTGTATATAAATCTTAATGCTTGTGGTTTCAATCACAAATCTTTGTCGAATTGAAAAGCAGATAGTGACATAAAATATACAGAGTTATCGCGGGAATAAAACTCGGTGATACCCTCTCACTTAACCATTTGAAGCAGAAAGGTATCGAGTTCATAACCCCAGATTTATATTTTATTCACTCTTTTAGATGTGTCCGTCTGTAATTTCTGTGGGGCCAGGATAGCCTGGGTGGTTGGACGGTGGTCCCATGTCTGAAAGATCGTGAATTCGATACACCCTATCCGAAGACTCCACTTGTACAAAATGGTGACTGGTGCACGGTAAATCCATTGGAATCATAAAGTCTCCCAAGTTCCTATAACAAATCAGTAACTCTGAGGGTACAGAATCGGAGCTTGATTGCGCTGTGGTTCAAGTCAAAATTACGATCTGAGGATGGATTGATGGTGCGTGAATGTGTTCTCCTGCATAACGGGATGTGACGTATGTATGCCGTCCCCAGATCATCCTCAAGGCTATATCCCAAACCATCACGTATAGCCCATTGTGCAGCTCAAGTGTGACGTAAATAAAAGTATCATACCCTAATTTCTGCTATTTGACCTTCCATTTAATGGCTGTTTGTATTGAACAAATAGCACTGTAAATTTATTCATGGATGAATCTTGTATAAATTAGTTGTTGTTGCTGTTGTTGTTACTTTACGTCGCACTGGAGCTGCACAATGGGCTATTGGCGACGGTCTGGGAAACATCCCGGAGGATGATCCGAAGACATGCCATCACAATTTTGATCCTCTGCGGAAGGGATGGCACTCGCGCTTCAGTAGCCCGACGACCTGCGCGCGAAGTCGAGCACTTTACGGTAGCACAGTTTAACGAGGACCAATACCGCACACCCTTGGTCCCTACGCAGACTGATCCAAGTGGTCACCCACCCGCACACTGACCGTAGCCAGTGATGCTTGACTTCGGTGATCTGCTGGGAACCGTGTCTTAACGATCAGTCCACTGCGGGACGTATAAATTAGTACACAACTGATTTTAAACTGAAGTATTTCGTTGCGAAAGCTCAGAGATTCTTCATTAGGATTGAACTAGCAAACTGACAAAATTAATTTTTAAAAAAAAAATATTTGAAGGTTACTATAGTCTAAAATTTTTTTAACTGTACTTGTACTCTCACTTCGATTAATTTTGAAGCAGTGGAGGTATAAAAGTAACAACTTGTGTGGTAGCAGTTAGTCAAGGGGGATAAAAGCGAGTAGCAGAGATCCCCCCCACATCATCATCAACAGTCAACAGTAGCAGTTAGTCTTCCTCTTGCTAGAAAGTTCAGAGATTAGCTTTTTTTTTAGACAGGTTTTAAAGGCAATTTTCTTGCACGCTTTTTTAAAATGGAATTATTGTTGATTTTATCCCTTGCCTTATCTGTTTTCCAGTTTGGATTATGCCACAGGTCTCCAACTGCTTATAAACGTCGTTCTAACAAATCGGCAATATTGACTTCAACGTCTTTGGCACAGGAGCTCGGTCACATTCAACACCACTTGGAAGATGTTGTTGGCCAACTAGACGTCAACCAGATGGCTGAAGATGAACTGAGGTTCCTATATTTCAAGATGCATGACAGTGATGACAACAATAAGTTGGATGGATGTGAACTTGTGAATTCTCTGCTACACTGGCATGTGGAAGAACACAAACATTTGTCTCCAGATTCTTCCCTTGACGGAAAGACAAAAATCTTCAGCAACGACGAACTTGCAATGTTTATCGATCCGATTCTTCTAACGGATGATAGAAATTTTGATGGCTTCATAGACTATCCAGAGTTTGTTGCTGCTCAGGATTCTAGAGTGTTTTGATTCTATATGACTATGCTTATTAGGAAGACGAACCCGAATCTTTCGGTGGGAGCTTATTGAATTGTATTTTGTGTGAATGACCACAAACTGGATGTTTAGGTGAGATGAATTGATTTTAATCCTTCAGTTTTACCATTAACTTGGTTTGTCTACAAAGTGGACTCTAAATTTTACCTATTGTAAACAAATGTGAATCTGAGTTTTATCGGATTTTATAATCGGAGATGTAACGAATTTTTAATAAAATTTTTGTTTCTTGAAATAGTGTTTTGTTAATTAATAGTTCTTGTATTTAAATTTAAATACGAAAATGAGAAAGTTTGACAAATGAATGTTCATTGCAAATGTTTTTAATGTATTTTTCTCCAGCAACATACGTTTTAGAAATAAGAAAAATTAAAGGTTTTTCAAATTTAAAATTCAGTTTTTTTTTTCTAAATGGTATTAACAAAAACCTTGACTATAGTTCAATGGTTGTTAGTTTGCATAGTTTTTAAACTCTTCTGGTAATTAAATTTTATATTAAAGATCACATATGTTAGATTTTGCTATTCAGATCACTTACAAATTTTATTTTTAAGGACAAAAGATTATTATGCTTAGGCCTTAGTTTGATTCTGTATATACATTTAAGTTTTTTGTTATGGAAGAATACGTTCTATTTTTCTTTAAGTATTGATACGTGAGATTTTTCTTAATTATTCTTATACGAATGTCTACTTTATTGTATGGTTTGCTCAAATATCTAAATATTTGAGCAAATCAGATTGCAATTAATACTTTTTCTACCTCAACCGAAGTGGTAATGCATCACTTGAGAATATTAACTTTAGTCTTATTGTTTTCATTACATTTGACCCATAAATGATAAGTTAAACATTTCACCAAACATTTTAGTTTTGAACTCTATTTACTTGTAACATAAAAAAAACCCTAAAGGAATCTGACAAAAAATAAAGCCTAATCTTTGAATAACATAGATTACATATTATCATATCTTAAGTGCATTATTTCACTGATATTTTGTGTTAGAAAATCCAATCCAAATTTAACTTTTGTACACTGAATATACTTAAAAGTTTTAATTCTAGTTTAAATTTTTCAACGAGTTGAATTCACTTAGAAAATCAGCATATTTTATTCTAAATATGAGTTTTTAGTTTGGATATTTAGGTTTATCGATAGAGGTTTAGCAAGCTCTCTTTTCCCACATTTCTCAATGTTTGTTAAATGAGAATAGATCTGTAGGAAATATCCAGACTGTCCAATCATTTTCGTTGTTAAACTAATTTTTTCTAAAAAATTTTGATTGTATATATACAGAAGCTATAGGAGTTGTTCATCTTTCTGCAGCAATATTTAGTTTCAAATTAAAATTTTTAAATCTAAATTTTAATTGGACTTCATTTTGAATAAAGGAATGATCACTGGAGTTTTATGAAACATTATGCTTTTTTTTAAACTTTTCGTTAATTTCAGTAAAAAGAGAATAGTATCATGAAATTTTACACGAGTTTTTTGCATTAGAATCTTCCTTAATGCTTAGAATGCTTTAGTAGTTTCCAAACGCTTATGTATTTTTGCATATTGCTAAATTTTTGTAAAACGTTATTACTTACATCAAACTCGACGCATAAGTAATTATAAAAAAGTTAAAGCAATAAAATTTGCCTTGTTTAAGTATCGTAGAATTTGATCGGGATTTAGAAAGAATAGTAGTTCAGGCGTTGACCATACCTTCTCGGGTTTCAAAAATAGTAAATTTATAAGAATACTCAACTGCAAAACAAAAGTTTAGTGTCATTTTTAAAACTTAGTTTGTGGAAATTTTACGTTTAATAGAAATGAACTCATTTTTGTAATTTTTTTTCTTTTTGTAGTAAACTGAGTTTAAAATATTTATTCTAAGACTTTAAATAAAGCAATCTTCAATGAAAGTTTTGTAACTTTCACGATGTTCTAATGAATTTGAAAATTACCTTTTCGATCATAATATGAAATGTAACATCTACGCTCTTCATTCAAATGGTAATTTAAAATAGCTTTGAGAACGGAATAATGTTTGACATTACAAAAATTATCTATTCCCCGCATTCCAAATAATTTTAAACATTAATTTAAAAAAAAAACTATCAAACGTTTGAGTTTGTCGAACAATCTATGGAGCAAGAGTCTCTAAAGTGTGTGCTGTAGCACACACTTTTGAAAATTTCACGCTAAATCCCCATGGGCTTTAAATCTAATATTTTTATGATAAGTTGTGTTCCAACTTACATGAGGGAGACATATTGTGTTTACATAATTGCACTGCAGATAAATTTTAAATTTATTTGGCTAGGTTCAGCCATAGAAGCCCAGAGAAAATTTTAATGTCTTAAGGATGCAAAAAAGTTGGTAACTCTTGCTTTAAAAGTAAATTCGATCGAACTTAGAGTTATAATATATAAAACATAGTTTAAAATATTTAAGTCAATTGTTTCTTTTAATGATTTTTTGGTGTTGAGTAGCTGAAAAGATTTTTTTTTGTCTTAATTAAAATTGTATAAAACGCAAATTGACTCGCATCAATTATTTTGGAAGGAAAAGTTTGTTTTAGAAACTTACCGTCAATTCAAAAATAAAGGAAAATTAAATTGTCCGTTGTTTATATCAGTTCTGATCATTTAAATTATTTTGTTATTCTATAGTAAAATCTTAAAGACAGAACAAAATTTTTGATAACCTCAATTTTGAAATGTAGTTTAAACTGCAGGAAATATAATGCTCATTTAGCTATGAAGTATTAGTTTCAAAACTTAGAATGTTCGTGTGCAGGTAGTGTAAAATTCTTAAATTCTTGGTGAAATGAAAAAAAAAAAAAATACAAGCTTTGATGTTAAGTTACTTGAAACAAGTAAGATTTTGCTTAATAGAAATGTTTACGAAAGCAATAACTTAAAATCTTGTAAATTTGTAAACAAAATGTTCTTACATGACGTATCTATAATTTTTGTTTTCTCTTTATATACTTTTTTTTAATGTCTAAAGCAGTTCGAATAAAACTAACGTAATTATGAAGAACTTCATGAATGAAATACCTTAGTTCGCCTTTACTTCCCTAGATGGCGGTAGTGCTGTTGCAAAATATAAATAAGTACTAATTCAAAATCTCACAATAGTGAACATTTTTTACCCCAATTCTCTCCTTCATAATTTTACTTATCGCTATTTCTGTTGTAGTTTAATGTTGAAATACTTATAAAATTATTTAGTTACATTTATTTGTTCATTTTATTAGATTTTTCAGAAATAGGAAAAAAGGGGAAAAGAAAGCTTTTTGAGCTTAAAATGTTAAAATTCAAATCATTTCGGATTCTTAAGTAAAACATTTTAGGTATTCAGGTAAAAAAAACGATGGAAAATAAAAATTTTCTCTGTAAAAATTATTTTTTAAGTTTTGTGAGAAAACAATTAGCATATTTTTTTTAGATAACTGCAGAAGATTTAAAATATATTTGTTACGTGATTTTCTGCAGGCAACCGGGTGAATTAAAATGCATTGGATAAATTTTGTTAGAAGCAAAATTTAGTATATATGTCTAGTTTGTTCCTTCTTTTTTTTCTAAGTTACGAAATTTTAAGAATTCTTTCTATTTACTTTCTAGACATGCGGTTAATAATTTGAAATATACTATAAAGATAAGTTGGAACACGTAAGTTTTTTTTAACTTTTGAAGTGTGTAAAATTTTATTTAAAATGCTCTATTCTCAAAACTAGAATTTTTATAGCTTTATTAAGAGTTAGTTTTTGAAAGAATAGCAAGACGTGTGTGTATGTGATATTGTAAATCAAAGCTTTTATGAATTTAATCAGTCATTGGAATCCGTAAAACATCACACAGATTCACGGAGACTATTACAGAAAAGAAATCTAAAGTTCTATTGATTAAAAGATTCTAATAAAAATAGTGATTTTATTTTCAAAAAAATATTTATTAGTATTTATATTGTATATTTCAATAAGCTGTTAAAAATTTTAAAATTGTAAGGGAAATCTATCTTTATCCAGTTGTATATAATATAAAAAGGAAATTTCACTACCGTTAGAACACAATTTTCTGAAATAATTAAGACGCAATTCACATTCTGAAATATTTGACAGAAATTCTCTTTACTATAAAGAACATCTTACTGTGCCTTTTTTTAAATATCTTTTTAAAATGTGATTTAATACTACGAGGAAATATTTTAATATAAAAATGCAAAGAAAAAAATTTAAAAGCATTTGAATTGCTCACAAAAATAAATTGAAACTTATTTTTAATGGGAAATTAACTGATAAGGAATAAAAAAAGTTTTCAATCCCCATAACGGTGCATTTAACTCTGAGTAGAAATTCCATATTTTTTTTCATTTATTCTATTTTTGTAATCCTTGTCCAAAATTGATTAATAATAATAGTCAGCAAGTATATCGAGAGCAAAACTAGTTACTAGCTTAATTTGCTTACGGAATCCTCTAAGTGCTTTTGGAGAATAAAAACTTAAACCTCAAGCATACCTCTCCATTGACAAAAAAACCTATCTTGGAAAAAAAAAAACCTTGCTTCTCTAAACTAGATAATACAAAAAGCTTAAATTTATCCAAAATCATGTGTTGAAATGTCAAGGTCTCCCTCTTGCTCTTTTTTCCGTCAGAACCCTATGTAAGAGTAACAAATGTTAACTGGATTTATCATGCTTTACTGAATTACTGAAGCTTACTGACTTGTTAATGCTCCCAGAAACTAATTTTTAATGCAGTTTGACTATATTAATGACAAGACTCCTGTCAAGATTTTAATGTTATGGAAAATTTAAATATCTCTGGAATACCTTAGAAATAGCATGACTCAGTTTATTTCTTCATTATTAGCTATCTCAATGAACAAAATTTTGAGAGATATTTTTTGACGTTTTATATATTGCGCGATAGGTTTCGAATATTAATAAATACTTGTCTGCGAAAATATATTAGTCTTCGTCAAAATGTATACATTTTACAATTTTTTAATTTTTTTTATTTTTTAAGTCTTTGGAAAAAGCTAATAAGAAATGCATGCAGAACATAGGATTCTAAAATTACCTCACTTATAATATATTTGTAATATATAATGTAATTTGTATTGTATCAAAATTTAAAACCCTTAATTCTGCTAGTCTGGTGAAATCTAAAGATTAGTAATTTTGTAAATTTCTTTTTGTTGAAATAAGATTGTTGGGGCAACGAGTATTGAGTATTGGC